ATTTTTGCTTTTACTGGCTATGTTAACAAAATAACCCCGTTTCGCCATCCGGAAGTTCTATTGTTAGATCTGTTAGATATTCTGTTTTTTATTTGATGAGTATACCAATGATGATGAAGTATCGTTTTGAAACTTTGATGTTTTTTTATTATTGGGTTAAACTATGTTCGATTGTATGCCGTTATATTGCTGTGGTCGTTTTATTTTCTAATTTGTTGTTAAAAAGACTACACATGTTATGTTGGGCTGGATGGTCTCTGATCTTGTGTGGATACCTGTCGATTGTTAAAGCCAGTTTATTTTATTTAATAAATAGGTGAATGTAATGATAAGTACTATGCGTATATATATGCGTGTATATGACCTTTTTTTGGTTGAAAAAAAAAAATTTGAATTATGTGCCTGTTATTACAAATTTTAAAGATTGTAACTTGCAATCTGTTGATTGCATAGGTACTATTTGGACTCATCGTTCCCAGATCCTTTCGCTGATTTGAATCATTTATTCCACCTTGCTTCGGGTTCAGACTATTCAACGATACCAGACCGTTTATCGATTCACCGTGTATTTCCAATCTGTTTACTCTGATTACACAAGGTGTGGTATTGAAGAAGACGAATCAATTATCCTTCACAATTGCCATAAATTTTTTTATGCTTCAAGGGTAAGATTGAGTATCAGGTTCATGCCTAAGAATATTCTTAAGAATATAAGGAATCTTTTGCATTGTTTTGATCAATTAAGGATAATGTTGGATATTCAATCCCTTTATTTGAACTTTGCCAAAAAGTTCCTTATCTCTGATCATTTGAGTTCGTTCCTGACTTTTGTAGACGATTTACCTCTTCATGCTAATTTTTCCTGTGAGGATGTGCTAATAATGTTTCTTTCTGATGCTCCTTTTTTAAAGATTAACAATAATGTGATAGAATACGAAGGGTTTTGAGTATTGTATTTTAAAAAATAAATGTAGGGTGTATGTTGTACAGTATAATAGACTTATTTTATTAACGTTGTAATAGATGTATGATCGATTGACGTAACGATGATCGAAGTATGTTACGTCTTGTCATTATAATGATTGTTGAATATTAAAATGCGATTTTATTATGGTTATTCTTTTTGTCCGATGAACGAATCCTTTTTTTCTTTCATAATATATTTGATTAATCTCGGACTACTTTAACGATAAATCGACAGGTAAACAAAGTAAAATTTTAACTGTACGTAAAACTTTTTTATGATAATCTTAATAAAACTCGGTAAATATAATAGGATGTAAAAAACGTTATTGAGTGAAAACTATGTTTGCTACTGTACATGTTCTTGATGTACAATTTTATGATCTAACTTATTGAATTCAGCCTGAATCTACTTATATTTGCTAAATTCTAACGATTTTTCAGGATTGAATATAAATATATTGAATGAATATCGCTGTAAACAAAAACAGTCCTTTATTTTGTAATTAATAACTGTAAATATGAGGATTTATCTAATGGTGTCATTATATATGATCTTGAAGCGACTCGAATTTCATGGTTTGAAATTAACTTGATTTCACTGTAAGTTGAGATCGAATTCTTTAATAACTCGAATTATATTGTATTCTATGTTTATTTGAAATCAACCTATAACATGTTGACTCTTTCGAACATGATACGATGTATGTAAGTAATGAAAGGTTTTCGTGATGTGAGGAAGGGTTGGGTATTCTGATGCACCTAAAAGTACTGATAGTAAAGATTCTCGCTAAAATACGCAATTAATGTTTATTGAAATAGGCTATCTGGAGGTATTTTGATGCACTATGTAACGTGATCGCTGTACATTGTTTTCAAAATTAATTTTGGTTTATTTTAGTTAAATTCATGATAATTATTCGTTTTTTTCGCTGACTACATATTTACATAATATACTGCCTTATTAGAATTGTCATTTTTCCTTTTTTTTTGATCAGAGATTGCAGGTATTTTGTCACAGAATAAGATAATATTTTCGATTTTTATAAATATATTTGATTGTACCTTAAACCCTGTGGATGTATCTTGATGTGTTACATTGAATGTGGCTATGAATCATGTGATGTGACTCATAATATGACGATGAATGACTAACCCGACATAAAGATTAGTCACGATATATACGAGCAGTATATTGAAAGGGAAGATTAATTATAGCACACGGGCAATATACTGAAAGGAAGGATTTAAATATACTACACAAACGATGTTCTGAAAAAAGAAGTTAAGTATTGGGTATCGGGTATCGGGTTTGGATTAATATGAAAAAAGATGTGAACTCGTGGATGAGTTATAAAATAATAATTAACAATAATAACATATAGGTAATATGTTAAAAGGAGAGAGCTAAGTATATTGCACAGCAGCGTATTAAAAAGAAAAAGCTAAGTATCAGGTATCAGGTTCAAACTGATGTAAAAGAGAATGTGGAGTTGTAAATGAATGAAAATAATGATTAACGATATAACGTATAAGCAATGTGTTAAGAAGAGAAAACA